TTCAAGACCAGCCTGGCCAACATAGTGAAACGCCATCTCTACTAAAAATAGAAAAAAAAATTTAGCTGGACATGGTGGTGCAGTCCTGTAATCCCAACTACTCAGGAGGCTGCTGCAAGAGAATCGCTTGAGTGAGCCCAGTGCACCCAGTGGGCGGAGGTTGCAGTGAGCTGAGATTGAACCACACGGCACTCCAACCTGGATGATAGAACGAGGCTCTGTCTCAAAAAAAAAAAAAAAATGAAAATTCAGTACTTACTGGGCAAATGGACATATTCATCGAAAATCTGGTTCTGTTATCATCCAAATAAATAATTTGTTTTCGAGTGTATTTTACGTAAAAAAAGTTTCTAAGTCTGTAAAACTGCTTTTCCTGCCCATTATCTAATAATGCTTAAAATTTGCATTTCTTTGATAAGATACATTTACTTTGATAAGACAGTATACAAAGTGTTTTAAGAAATCACTGACCACTTAAAACTTAATGCTCCTAAAGGATCCCCAATGACCAACCCTCTTGGCTTGCCCCAATAAGACACAGAATTTTAATGTCTCACCTACCACTCCAATATAACTAACTAGACATTTCATACACAGTCACATCACCTATGTTTTCTTTTTTCTATCACATCCGATTAAAGAGAATGTTTTGTTCAGTACCTAGCACACCGTCAAAAAACAAGTATTTAAATAATGTTTAACTTAAATAGCATGACCTCAAAAGAACACTCTGGATTCCTAAACTTTTAAATCCTATTCTCATTCTGTGAGATCCTTGAGAAAGCTGGTGAGAGCTTTGTAATACACGATGACAAATCATAAAAGCACGTATTAGTATGCAGTTATCCTCGCTGAGCTAAGGAGAGGCTAAATAGCATGAGCTTCAAGAATACTCAGTGTTAACTTAGCTCTAGAACGACTTTTTAAAGAGTGCCACACACTGTGGTACATCACCAAAAGAGATAAAGGTCCACAGCATTCTTTAAAAGCTCCAGAAAATAAAGTTTTATTTTACTGTCTGCTGGGGCAGTGGGGATAAAGAGGGAGGGAACACAGTTCTTCCTAGAAGCAGTGTATGTGAATAAATGACCCTCTATGTCTCTTCCAGATAAATTCTCTTTTAATTGTTAAACATAAGGTATATGTGTAAATAATAAAGTCTAAATCTAGTTTCTCTAAAACAGGTATAAATACAGAAATTTTCAAACGTCTTTCAGCTTCTAATTAATATAGCTGAAGTCACGAGGCAACAAAACTAATGCAAATGAAATGTGAGATATTTTGCACATTTCTAAAAATAGATTATTTAACAGCCTTCGATAACTGTAATTCTATAAAGATAGGAACCTATTTTAGGGACCTAATCTAAACTTTATTCTGGAATAAAGCCTGATCTAAGCTAATTTACTACACTATTACTCAAGCAAAAAGAATTCTTTCAGAACATGATAAAATCATATAAATAAAATGTTCCAGGCCAGGCACGGTGGCTCACACCTGTAATCCCAACACGTTGGGAGGTCAAGGCAGGTGGATCACCTGAGGTCGGGAGTTCAAGACCAGCGTGACCAACATGGTGAAACCCTGTCTCTACTAAAAACACAAAATTAGCCAGGCGTGGTGGCGGGCATCTGTAATCCCAACTACTCGGGAGGCTGAGGCAAGAGAATCACTTGAACCCGGGAGGGAGAGGTTGCAGTGAGCCAAGATCGTGCCACTGCACTCTAGCCTGGGCAACAACAGCGAAACTCAGACTCAAATAAAAAAAACCCAAAATGTTCCAAACACAAAACTTGAAAGATTTTTAGTTTCAAAACACAGTTTGTGTTTTGTGCAAATCTGTGCAAATAAAACCACACCTTTGGAAATAACAATACGAGTATTTAAGCAAAAGTTAAGCTACTGGTCGGTGGAGGTGTACACTTTACACAGTTATGCTCAGAAATACACAAATTCTACTGACCAGGTGGTCAAACTGCTAAAGGAAATACTGTAATATCCCATTTTTTCCCCTAGACCCCGGAAATTAGAAGCTCAAATTATATTTTGCAGCATCATTAAATAACTAGAAATAATTATGCCTCTGTGACACTGAAATATAAAATGCCATAAACTTAGAAATTAAACTATGATCACTTTGAGCTTTTTCAAAATAAGCTATCATTTTCTTTAAAATATCTGTACAAGGGCCATATGATGACATCCGTTTAAATGCACTGTCATACAGTAGCCACCAGGCATGTGACTATTTAAATCTAATTAAAATTAACTTTTAAGTTCAGTTCTTCGTTCCCTTAACCACATTTGAAGCGCAGTAGCCACATGTGGCTGGTGACTGCCATGCAGGACAGCACAGATACAGAGCATTTCCATTGCAGTAGGACATGTATGCCAAATATACAGCATCTCCAACTACCAAGTGACAGGCGAAGTCAAGCCTTCTGGTTTTCCAGGTGGCACTGCCAAATACTGTGTGGTTTTGTAAATAATTTTGTTAAATTTATCACTTCAACAGCAGGTACACACAAAAATTTTTATTAAACTATTAGCTGAAAAAAGCAGACCATAGCTTTTAGAGTTAGCCAAGCTCCTTCTTAAAAACACATTTTTGTTTTGAGTATAACACTTCACAAAATCAAAGTAATAAATAAAAGATATCTAATATAATTTTCAAATAACTAAGAATTTTTGCTTTTGATAACTGCCTCCCTTTATTTGATATTCAAATTCAATGAGTGGATCACTAAAAAGCCAAACTCTCAAAGTGCAAATAATCTCTTCTTTAATCAAGAAAAAGAAGATGTCAAGTATGAAAGTATAACCAGTTTCTCCTCGGCAAGTTGTGGAAATATCATAGAACTAGAGATACTAACCTGAAAGGTATCTGAAAGTGAGAGTAATTATCACTCCCATTTCTGCAGTACCCTATCTACCCCTACTGCGATTTGCAGAGCTTCCTATTTATTTTTAGTTAGCCTTCTAAAATACATCTTCTACTTTTGGTTTTGGATCCAATTATCACTTCATGTCCCACATAAAAGAAAACCACTTGATCCTGTACCATTTGGTGAGAAAACACATGAACACAATTTATTTGCACATTTTTAATATAATACAGTCTAAATAGTAAACCATTATCTTCAGAATGCCTTTAAAAGCAAATCAAGGAATGTACCTAATGCCACAGAACTGTACACTTAAATATAGTTAAAATAGTAAATTTTATTTTATGTGTATTTTACCACAATAAAAATACATCTAGGCAATTGTCTAAATTCTGAAACTATCCATTTTTTCACATTAAATATGCTTTTCCTGATAAATTGGTTAGAATTTTTCAAAGTAATATAACAAAATTTCATTAATGTTGGAATAAAAATCCAAGCATATTAAAAGCCAAAGACGAGAAATGTATTTAAGAAAACAGGTTTAGGCCAGGTGTGGTGGCTCATGCCTGTAATCCCAGCACTTTGGAAGGCCAATGCGGGCGGATCACCTGAGGTCGGGACTTCAAGACCAGCCTGACCAACACGGTGAAACCCCGTCTTTAAAAAAAATAATAAATAAAATAAAATTTTTTAAAAGACACATTTAACATAAGGTTATTAAATGAAAAATTATTTCATATTTTTATATATAACAAATCTGAGAATCTCCAGTTTAACCAACACTGGAAATTCACAGGCTTTTTATCTGGCCCCTACTGCAAGCCAGACACTGTACTAATCACACTTCCTTCGTAAACATAACTCTAATCCTCAAAACCACCGAAACAGCTGAGTACTATTATCCCCATTTTACAGATGATGAAACTGAGGAGCAAATTTTTTAAGTGCCTACAGTCACTAAAGACAGTAACTGAGCAATACTAAAGTGTTAGTATAACTTCTAAGCTGGTGTACGTGCCACCAACCACACTGAGTCTGTGTTAGGATTCTGTTTTGACATCAGAAAGACAATCAGAGGAACCATATTGCTAAATTGAATTTACTCTCAAGAGCCACATAACTTTTTATGAATTCGGCTACACACCAGATACCTTGGTATGGTATCTCCAAAGGATATCTTGACAAAAAACAAGCAAGAAACCATATAGCAACAACTGATTCTCTTGCTCCTAGTATTAGGAAAAATTCACAGACAATCCGTAAAAGCTATTTCAACAAAAAGAAATGTAAATCCAGAAAATAAACATCTTAACAGCAAAATCCATCACCCTTATCCATCGTCCATTATTTCAATATTGGACATTCACACCACAACTTGACTTTATAACCAGGCATTAAACCAAAGTAAGATGCATAATGCTATTAATACTTTCAAATTCCTTGAATCCTGGCAGGACAAAACATCCTAAACCATCTAAACCCAATTACTAATTCTAGTGAACTGTTAAGTCGCCCCAATAAGTGAGTGTTTAGGATGCCCTCCATGACACAAGTAGGGGGCCAGAGGACAGCATATTATACTCTGCACGTGTGACTGCAAACTTATTATTCACTCCATTCCAGACTTTATAAAAGTAAAAGCTGTTTCTTTGTTTAAGCAAATGTAGCCATAAGCACAGGAAGCCTGCAACATGTCCCCACTTCAGTGGGAGAGGTGCAAATATCACTTCCACGAAGAAACTCGCTACTGAAGATTGCAGAAGCCACCGCAACCCTCCATTCCGCGATCGCTGAAGGACAGAGACATTTCAGAAATGTCTCAAACCTGCTGTTCACCTGTGGCCTGGAACAGCCTGCGGAGCTCCTAAAGAACGCACTAATCCTCTGCGGAGGTTTTGCTAAACAAGCTGTGGGAAACTAAGGGCGCCAGGCAAGTACACTTTCCTGCGATCTAAAACTTCCTAGACTGCATTTACCAAAACCAGTTTCCACAGAGATAGGAGTGACTTAGCTGCTACTGAAGATATCAGGATCGAAATTCAATTAAAAACAAAGGTACTCGTTCCAGTAACGTATGTTTCACTCCAGTAAAAAGTTAAAAGGAAAAAAAAAAAAAAAAGACAAAGCAAAGAACAAGGTTCCCAGTTCCCGTATTCTTGACCTTCAAGAACTTAAGAAAAGTCAAGACCCTGTGAAAGACGAAAAGTTTGAGCGGCTGCTGGGCTCGCGGGCGGCTCGCCGGACTCCGCAGCAGCTGGGGAAAGCCACTTCGCGATCAGGGTCTCTCTGCGCCCCCACGCCGGCGGTGGGCGGGGAGCCCTGAGGATGGAACCTCCCCTCCCGAAACCCCGGAAAGGCTCGGAACGCCCCAACCCCTCGGCGCGGGCTCCAGAGCCCGGGCTCCTTCCCCGACGCGCCCGAGGACGCGGACCAGCCCCCCGCCCACGACCCCGCACGCTTCCGGGCCCGACGCCCAGGCCGTTCGCCCCCTTACCGGCATCATTTTGGACCCGAACCGCATGGAAGCGGGTGGCCAGACTGCGGCCCCGGCCCAGCGGAGGCGCCCCGGGGGTCGCGGGTGCGGGGGAGGGGAGCGGAGAGCGAGGCCGCCCGGACCTGTTGCGAGGCGGCGGCGCGCGGCTCCGCAGGGCCCTCCGCGCGGCTGAGGCGCCACCAAGCCCCGGGCCCAATCCCCCGGCCGGACCCCCTGACGCGGCTTTGTCTCCCCGACGCTCGCGACGGCTAGGGCTCCCTCCTCCGCTCCGAAACCAACTAATCCGGGGCCGGGCCCCAGCCCAGCCCGCGCCGGCTCCGCCCCCCGCGCGGACCCCGCCCGCGGCACGCCTGGAGGCCTGGGGGAGGGGAGGCCGCGGGAACGGAGCGGCGCGCGCCTGCGCGGGTCCGGCGGCGTGGACAGGGAGCGGCGGGAGCCGGCCGCCTTTTCTTTCTTCACCTCGGACTGAAGTGCGGCCGGGGCTGCGCGGCGAGCGGCTGGAGCGCGCGCCTCCTAGCGGAGCCGGGGCAATTGGGAGGCGGCGCCTCAGGAAAACAGAGAGCTAGTGAAAGGCACCGAGCCGCGCCAGGGTTGCCGCCGTCCCCTCCTCGGCAGCTCCGAGTCGTGCGAGGCAGGGGACCCTTTGCCTTCAGAACCGGACCCCCGAGGCTGGGCTCGTGGACAGGGTCCTCCCGCGGCCGCGCGGCAGGGCAAACCCCCGGCGAAGGCCCGGGCGTTGCGGCGGAAACGACCCAACTCCCTGGAGGCGGCGAGGACCGACCCCGTCCCGACAAAATGGAGTTCCCCGTGTGGCTTCAGCCCGCGGCGCGTTCCCCGTGCTCCTCGGTGACCGGCTCTCGGCTTGTTCGCCTTTCCCTTCATTTGCCGCCGTGCAAATTCTAATTTAAAACTCATGTGTTAACTTGCTGTGATGTTCACAAACGTACACCGCAGACTGGATAAAGGGGTAACTTTTATGTGGTATATGTTTTACCACAATAAAAATAAGAGGCGTAAAATGTGTCAGGTAGCATTCCGAGGAGCTTTCCTGGGGGGGTGCTGGGAACACCCCGCAAGCAGCCTCCCGATGCCAGGAACCAGTGGATATCTCATCCTTTTCCAGGGAGGGAGGCCGAGGCCTAGGGAAATGGCAGGGCTCCCTTCCAAAGAGTAGCAGAGCAGGTTCAGACTCCTCTTCCTCCTTCCAGGGAGACACAGACTCCGGGAACCCTAACTCCAGAAAGCTTTGTTCTTGTAGGTAGTCTGTGCAAGCTCACTCGGAATCACTTTTCTCTGTCTTTATACATGATTCTGGGACCTGAAGTGGAGTAAAGCCCCTGGATTTATCTAGTTTCAAGAACAGACAATTCTTAGTCCGCCATATCCCTTACCAGAATCTCCATCGAACTCCCTAATTGCGCCATCCTAGCTGCTGTATCTGGAAACATTAAATTACAGTTAATTCAGTTAGAATTTAACGTTCTCGGCCAGGCGCGGTGGCTCACGCCTGTAATCCCAGCACTTTGGGAGGCCGAGGCGGGCAGATAACCTGAGGTCAGGAGTTCGAGACCAGCCTGGCCAACATGGAGAAACCCTCGTCTCTACTAAAAATGCAAAAATTAGCCTGGCATGGTGGCAGGTGCCTATAGTCCTAGCTACTCAGGAGACTGAGGCAGGGGAATTGCCTGAACTCGGGAGGCGGAGGTCACAGTGAGCCGAGATCGTGCCATTGCACAGCAGCCTGGGGGACAAGAGTGAAACTCTGTCTCAAAAAAAAAAAAAAAAAAAAAAAAGCATTTAAAGTTCTCAAAAAATCTGGTTTAAAGCCTTATTTTCTAATTTTTTTTTTTCCAAGGCCTGATACGGGAGCCTGCCTGGCAAATTCTGGGACCATCAAGGGGGCTCAGATAGCTGGAGTAGACGATGAGGGGAGAGTAGTGGGAGATGAGATGGAATGATATGAAGGGCCAGACAAGGAGGGCCTATTAGGCTATTCTAGGGACTTTACTTTTGCTGAGTGAAATGGGAAGTTATGGAAAGATATGATGATCCACAGTCATCCAGTTTAGTGACCCATATTGGTCACTAAACCTCCAGTTCTCACCAAAAAAACCATGACTCATTACCACCCTAAAACTGGTTGTGCACAATAGTAAATTATATTTAGTATGAGCATTGGCAGCCCTGGCTTATTAATAAAATGATTACAATAGAAATGGAAGCAAGGAGAGAAGAATTGCAATAAGACTGTCCAGTTCTATTTCTTTACTGTGTGTTTTCACAAATGCCCTGCCCAAGGGAAGGGAGGAGAAAAGGGACAGCAGTTGGCAATTTGTCCTGAAACTCACTTCTAGCCAATTGAGAATACCTAGCTGCCAAATAGCAGGTATGTTTATGCTGAGTACTTTTTATTTTTAATTCATAGAAGCATGAAACCAAAGAACCCTTGTCTGTGCTTTGGTTTCATTCTCTCAGACTTTGTACCATTCACATATGGCTCTCAGAGGGTTTGTTTTCTACCAAGTTTCACGTTCCACTGCCCCCCTCACCTGCTTTCAAGAGCCTCTGTTTGGTTCTCCCCACTCAATAATTCTCTATTCAACTCCAAGAAAGGTAAGTCAAATTACCACATTCTGAGTGGGGTGGAGCTACCTTCTCCTTTGGCTCTCACCCCACCCCTTGGCACAGTGCAGTTAATTATCTGTTTGGCTTGAGTTCAAATCAAGTTCCCTACTTTCTCCCTGTGTTACTCTTTTTCATCTTCCACAGATTTCCAAACTTTGAGTCCCTCTCTTCTCAAAAGATGTACTCCCATCTTAGCCAATGAAACAGAGACAATTGAGCTTGCACTCCTGCAATATGTATTCCCTTCACTCCAACTCATCTGGGTTCTTCTCTACCCTCTCCCCATCCTTTTACTGATCTATTTTACTAATACTTGTGTGGCTGTAGTTTGCCAGGCACTGTTCTAGACTCTAGAGGTAACAGAGAAGAGACTTGCCTTCATGGAGCTTATTTTCTAGTTGGGAGGAGCTGGACAACGAACACATGAATAAGGGAATAATAAGTGCTATGAAAAAAAAAAGAAACTAGGTAAACCTAAGAGAATAGCATCTATTTTAGATAGGGTGGCCAGAGAAGGCCTCTGAGGAATGAGGGGAGGGGGGAATCGGACTCTAAGCAGTGGGAACAATAAGGACAAAGAGCTTGAGACAGTCTTGTGCTTGGTATCTCAAAGACATAACAAAAAGACCCGTGTGCCCAGGGCAGAGTGAACAAGGAGGGGAGTGATAAGAGAGGTGAAAGATGTAGCCAGTGCCTGGGTCATGTAGAATCATTTAATATTCCACCAATTATCCTCCCTCTTGAAACCAGAGATACTCCATTTTTACGGGTTCCTTAACCTACAGGTTTATGCAGTTTCCTCCTACATTCACCTCAAGTTAGCAGTAATCTGAAAAAAAGATGGGGCAGAAGCTTGTGTATCAAGCCTCTTTGGATCCATTTATACTTTTTCCCTCTGCCTTAAAAACCTTTTCCTCCCTCCACCTTACCCTACATGGTTAACTTCTATTCATCTTTCAAGTCTCTACCCTAAATGCCCTAAATGTCACTTATTTTTAAAAGAGACAAGGGGCTGGAGTGCAGTGGCATGATTATAGCTCACTGTAACCTCAAACTCCTGAGCCCAAGCCATCCTCCCACCTCAGCCCACCAAGTAGCTGGGATTACAAACATGTATCACCATGCCTGGCTAATTTTTAAACGTTTTGTAGAAACAGTTTCTCACTGTGTTGCCCAGGCTGGTCTTGAACTCCTGGCCTCAAGCAGTCCTCCTTTCTCAGCCTCTCAAAGTGTTGGGCTTACAGGCATGAGCCACTACATTGGCTAAGTGTCACTCTTAAGGTCATATTTGATGCTTCTCACACAGAATTAATCAAATACTTCATGTATATTCCAAAGTACCATAGTATGGTATTTACAACATGACAGAAAAAAACCACATCTGTCTCCCAAACTAGCTGCAATGGCAAAAACTATTTCTAACTCATTTATTTGTATATCTTCAACCCTAATATTGTGACTAGGGCATAATAGATACTCAATGGTATAGTACCTAATAAATAAATAAATACTCAATGGTATAGTACTATGCTGTCTTTTCCCTTTACTAGGTACAGGAATAGTGAGATTTTGTCCTGATTACTGCAGTAGCCTCCGGCAGGTCTTCCTACATCTCCTCTTGCCCACTGCAATTCATTCTCTACCCTAGAGCTTAGCAAACTACAGCCCAAATTTGGCTCTCTGCCTGTTTTTGTATTGTCTAAGAGCAAAAATCATTTTTACATTTTTAAATTGTGAAGGAGAAAATCAAAACAAGACAAAGAATATTTTGTGACATGCAAAAACTATATGAAATTCAAATTTCAGTGTCCACAAAGAAGGTTTTATTGGAACACAACCACATTTACTTATTTATGTATTGTCTAAGGCAGCTTTCAAGCTACTACAAGAGTTAAGTAGTTGTAACAGAGCATGTTCGGCCAGCAAAGCCAAACTATCTGGAAATGTGCTGACTTTTGCTCTACCTAGCAGCAAGAATAATCTTTTTAACATGCATGTAATCATGTCACTCCCATGCTTAAAACTTTTCATCTAAGTAGACAGGGATATGGATGGGCTAGAACTAACGGCTGAAGGCTATTGGGATCAGGTGATGAACAATACCTGGAAGTGATGAGTTATAGTTTTCTCTCTTCTTCTGTATGCTCTAAATTTTAGATAATAAAATGGCTTTAAAAAAGAAAAGCCTTGCTTTTTATTGTTATTAGGATAAAGAATACATCTTAACACTGCCTCTAGGCCCTCACATGGTCTATTTCATACCCACCCTCCAAAGCAGTTGGGGTAGGAAGAAAGCCCAGCAGACATATATAGCTCCTCACATTCATGACAAAAGATTCAAAATTGGTAATTTTGTAGGATAAACTCAGTGCTTCGAAGACATATATCTATGATATATGACTCTAGCTTGATTTGGCTAAAGTAATTCCCTGCTTTATTGGTAACTCTTGGAACAAGGAGCTCATGATTTCTTCTACTGTCAGTTCTTTCTCCATTACCTCACCCCCTCCTTCCTCAACTAGTCTGCCTTCCAGCCTCATCCCTCCTCTGAAACAGCTCTTGACAAAGTCACCAATGGCCTCTGTTTCACTGATTTAATAAACATCTTCAGTCTCATCATCCTCAACCTTCTAGCACCGTTTAGCTGTTGCTCATTCCCCCCTTTCAAAACTCTTTTCTCTTGACTTAAATGAGAAAGCTCTTACAGTTTTTCTCCTACCTCCCTGATTGCTTCGTGGTATCTTTTGAAGGCTCATTTTTCTTCACCAGCATTTACATGTTGAAGGTCCTTGAGTCTCAGTCCTAGCCATTTCCTCTTTCCAATGACTACCTTCCCTTCTTCCCTAGAAAGTTGTCTTCACAGTCCTAAACCTCACCTACACACGTCTCTTTATTTTATTTTATTTTTTTAAGAGATGGAGTCTTGCTCTGTTCCTGGGCTGGGTTGCAGTGCTGCTATCATAGTTCACTGCAGCCCCAAACTCCTGGAATCAAGCAAGACTACTACCTCAGCCTCCTGAGTAGCTGGAACTACAGGTGCACACCATCATGTATGGCTAATTATTAATTTATTTATTTTGAGATGGAGTTTCGCTCTTGTTGCCCAGGTTGGAATGAAATGGTACATTATCAGCTCACCACAACCTCCACCTCCCAGGTTCAAGTGATTCTCCTGCCTCAGTTTCCTGAGTAGCTGGGATTACAGGCACCTGCTACCATGCCCGACTAATTTTTGTATTCTTAGTAGAGACAGGGTTTCTCCATGTTGGTCAGGCTGGTCTTGAACTCCCAACCTCAGGTGATCCACCTGCCTCGGCCTCCCAAAGTGCTGGGATTACAGGCGTGAGCCACCACACCCAGCCTATTTTTATATATATTTTTTT